GGCGGTTCATGGCTGCGGCTTGCCCTAGCAGATGGTTTTTGTGCCAGTGCGAGGGTACCGGTGTGTTTGCTAAAACCAGACTATGTCTATAAGGGTCAGCAGTGGTGTGAGTGGAAAGGCCACCAGTAAGGTAGTGGCAGAGGTTAGAGCTGCTTATCTTTGTAAAATCTGGAACTGGCAGCCTCTCCCTCCGAAAATTACCCGGGTTTCAAATATGCTGCTACTCTATAATGAAAGTTTTGCATCCACCTTTGCCATTTTAGATCCGCTGAAGCTTGGTAATACTGATCTTGTAGCTTTTCTTGCTTTGTGTAGTTAGCAGCAATCACTTTAATCTGTCTTGGTAAGCGAGCGTTCACACGGAGAAGATAGCTAGTCGTCCTACCTACTGGCCACCTTGTGTCTTCCCTCTCTTGTTCTGGCTTTCAGTGAGCTGTGTTGGTGCTCTCCCCCAGTGTTTAGCACTAGCAGTGCCTCACTGATTTAACACCTTACTTCTTGATTTACACTTGCATAATCAGTTATAATTTGCAAGTGCTGCAAAGCGTGAAGCTACCTTTGCATACTGGAACTGTTAAAATGTAATCTCTTGCGTGGAAAAGATGCCTGGCTGGTAGGATATTACAGTACACGCTGCAGTCCGTTGTATATTAGCTGTGGCCAAAGACAGGCAAATAGTGACACAATGTGATGGCTGAGGAAATATGAAAGCCTGTGAGAGAATTTTTGTTATAATCTGGCTGGGGCAATGTAGGAGTAGATTATAGTGCTGAGGTAAGTTGTTTCCTACTCCTGGTTGTTTCTTACACGTTTTAAAGAATTTCCTTCCAGAAGTTGTTTTTGAAACCTTCATTATTCTGATAGCAATTGACATAACTAAAAGTACTGAGACTGGGGGACTCAGGATCATGCTGCAAGTAGAGCTTTATTTGTGCAAGCTACGGCTTATCTGTAGTAAAGGGGGGAAGGAAATCCTGCAACCACAGTGTCAACCACAGTTGCTGCTGCATCCTGCTGCCTCCTATTCTGTCCTTCTGTTTTGGTGCCATCTAATTTTCAATGCCTACATCTAGTGGCAGTACTCTGTTTACTGTGCATGCTATGTGCTTCAGGTTGTGTTGGGCCCTGAGGCTTATTATTGCCTGTCAGAACCCTGTGCACAGTGTGGCTTTTGTATAAGTAGCTGCAACATGTTTACGCACTGCTAACACCTTGTAAAGGTGTAGTCAGAAAACATTTTTTTTCCACCAGCCATACCTGTTTATTCAGCTTTCCAGCCTTCTCTCTGCAGCCGCTATGCTGCACCATTTTGTGCTTGGGCACAGCAATCCAGGCTTTTGAGTTTAGTTTAGGCTACTTCGGGGCACCTTTTTCACATGCGTTAACGTCCTCTCTTTTAACGCTGCAAGTTACTTAAAACATGGAATGATATTTTAGGCCAAAAATACAATTTTAGCAGTTTCAGAGATCAGGCAATGTTTTTACCGTTGTGAAAATGTCTGACATATTCTCTTCCCAGGAACTTTAAATAAGGTTTCAGGAAAAGGATGGTTGCAAGCATTGCATATATCAGTTTACAGTAACATTGTACTAAATGCTAGTAGAAAAGCATCATAAAAAAAGTTATCACCAGCAGTGATAATTATACATTTCCTTGTATTGTCTATGAGTAAAACTGATTGCCAGAAGGCAACAATTTCGATGTCTAGTGCTGATCAGTTTTACACTACTTCCTAGTGAGCTGGAAGCCAAAGGACAGACGAAGGAAACCGAACCATGGATGAGATAAGTCTAGGTCAGCTCTTTCACTGAGACAGAGGTTATTTTTTCCCAGGTTATTCTCCTGTAGAAAAGTATGATCACTTCCACATTGGAGCCTCAGCAAAGAGCGGAGAATATTCTGTGGTTAACCTGATTTCCCCTTAAATATTTCTCAATTTTAGAATTTGTTGAATTTGGTAATAATACAATAAAATAATTTTTTAATAATTTGAATGCCAAGAGTTGTGTAAATTATTATTTCTTTTACTAGTCTGTAGTCCAGTTAAAGTACCATTTTAAGTCCTTGCACAGCAGGTTGTGTTATGTGATGCAATATTGGAGTGAATTATTAAGTTACCGTTCTAAAATGTATCTCAGCGGGATCAAAAGAAGGAGGAATTCTCAGTCTTTGGGCAAGACCAGCTCAGAAACGCTGCTCTCTCTACCAGATCCAGATAAAAGATGCAAAAAATGTTTATACCAGTTAAAATTTTGAAATAAAGCTTAAAAATGTGAAAATGCGTGCTATGAGGCACCATTTACTAAGAGGGAGAAATAACTCTGGGAGTTATAAACAGCCACATAGGTTTTCATTAGTCATTAAGAGCAGTATTTGATGATGATGATGTAAGTCCCACTGTTGTCACTGTTTCATTCAGAATAGTAAAACGTAAGAAAGGAGAAAGACATCACAGATTACTGCAGTTGAGTGAAAAATGAATATGCTGTGCCTGACCTGCAAGTAGCTTGTGTATGAAGTGTCAAAAAAAAATCCTTTCCTTTAGTTGAAATTTTAAGGGTTCTAGCAGAGCTTATGTGAACAGGGCTCCATACCAAGGGGAGCCTGAAGAAGTGAAGGTCATAGTTGTCTGCTAGAGCTTGGCAGCTGGGGCCCAGGAGCCAGTGACGCCTGGAGTGTTTGCAGGCATGATCTGCAGCGTCCTCTGTGTGTGCTTCCTTGTTTCAGTGACTGTCATGGATGCAGCTTGTAATAATACCACGAGTGGGTTTTTCTCTTCAGTTTAACCCATAATTTAAAGCTATGGGAAACATCAGGTCTATATCTTTACTGCCTTGCACTTTTAAGTATAGATTCTTTCAGTGATGCAAAATAGTTTGAATGTCCTCAAATCTGAGCTTGTTGCATTCTGCATTCACTTTAACAGGTGTAGGCACCAAAAGTATTGCACCCTCTTTTGCTGAGCAGCTGATGAGATTTTAACCCTGAGAGCAGTGTCTCAGTGTCTCATGTCATTCATGTTTGATTTAGACAGTATGTAAGATTACTTCAAACCCAGTGATTCTAGTGTTTTTTGTCCGACAGATACGAGCATCTTTTTAATATATAATGAAGATCACAAGCGCTGTGTGCTGGCTCAAAGTTCTAGTTCAGTGACTACTGCTCCTTGTGTTCAAGACAATGAGTCACAAAAATTCAGGTGGGTCTCAGATCACCAGCTTATGAGCATAGCATTGAAATTGTGCTTGGGAGTGCCTTCGAAGAAAGACTGGGTTCCGATCACTCTGTATCCTTGTGACAAGGCTAGTGAACTTCAGCGATGGGAATGCAGAAATGAGACTCTTTTTGCAATCCAAGGGGAAGATTTGTTTTTCAACTATGGAAACAGACAGGAAAGGAATATTATGCTGTACAAGGGATCTGGTTTATGGAGTAGGTGGAAAGTCTACGGAACCACAGACGATCTGTGTTCTCGAGGCTATGAAGGTAAAGTTCTGCAAATTAATTTCTATATTTCAAACTCATTTCTATGTTTATCTAGTTAAAGTATTTTGAAGCGTAGAAAAACTTCTTTAGTTTTGTTAGTGATCAGTGAGTAGGACTTTTGGAGAAATTGGCAATACCTGAGTTTTTTGGGGGATTCATTTCTTTTCTCTCTCTTTCCTTCCTGGGGCCCCCTTTTTTTTTCTGTTGTCAAAGTTGGATTCTGAAAGGTAATTAACCATGCAAGGTGGTGATTCATTTGGAGAGGAAAAAAGCCCTGTGCTTACACAGAACATGCATATAACCACGTACAATGTGTGATGAAAGCTTTTATAATTTACATGTGTATAGAAACACTTAGTGTGAACACATAGTCTAATCATGTTTTTTTTTTTCCTTTGGGGAGCAAATATGAATGATGCTGTATGGATTTAATTAACTCTTGATCCCTTCAGCTCCAATTCACTGAAGATGCCTTGTTAGGTGTTTGAAGTGAGTCTCAGAATTGGTACTGATATGTTAGACAAAGAAACAAGGTATTTTAAATTGTTTAATTTTAAATTGTTATGTGTGATGCACACATATATATATGTGTGTGGGTTTGTGTGTGTATGTTTGCAATAAGTATCTGGGAATATATTTGGCTTCCCATTTAGTATCCTTTGGTAAACAGGAATAGGCACAGAGCGAGGGAGGGATGCATTTTCTAGGGGTTAAGCAAGGGCTGATTACAGTATTAGTCCTTGGGCCAGAGCCAGAATAAAAGTACCCTAGCAAAGCAAATTATGTGAAAGGAGGCAGGGTGGAGATGGCATTCTGGCCCTTCATCCCTTCCTCCTTTGTTTTCTAGCAGCAGTGGAACAGTGTCCTTGGTATGTCATCTCCCTAGCCGTCCCTGTCAAGTGGTACTGCTCTGTACTTCCTCCCACCCACGTATGTACATTGTGTGTGCACACATACGAAAGCTGCTTTAGGTACTTGAGTAAGCCACGCCTTCCAGTTTCTGAAGAAGCAAAAATTGCCTTTAGGTGCAAATGGTGAATTTCTTTGGGTGTAGTATAATAGAGTCCATTTGAGTTAAATACCCTTCCAGTTTATAACTTCATGCCCTTCCCCGTCTACAATGGCTGGCCAGCAATTGGACAGGTTATTAACAGAAGAATCAGCAGTTGTTTGGGATTAGAAAGTCAGTTGCTTACCTTTTTTGACTTTATATTCTTGGTTGTTACGCCTGTAAATTTTAACACAGGAATGTTCTTATCTTGGCTTAGTCAGTTCTGTATGATGTTTTGCTTCAGTGACACAAAACTTCTTTCATTGTGGAAATGGATATCAGGTTAGAGCTAGAGAGTAAAGTTACCCACATCTCCCATTCCTAGTGTAGTTTGTAGAGTTAGCTAGCAAGCTCTGCTATAATATGATCATAAAGCTGAACTGGCATAAATCCCATGCTTATTACTGCTTACATGTTTTTAAAATGTTGTGTCTCTTTAGATACCTACACAGTGAAAGGAAATGCCAATGGAGCACCTTGTGTATTCCCTTTTAAGTTTAGTGGTAAATGGTATGCTGACTGCACAGATGCTGGCAGGTCAGATGGCTGGTTCTGGTGTGGGACCACTTCAGACTTTGATGTTGACAAGATGTATGGATTTTGCCCATTGAAATGTAAGTTTTGTACATTGGTGAGTCTGCTGTGGTCTGCTATTCAGACCTGGAAATGTTACTGTCCTTGTCATATGCTTTACTGTACAAAATACAATTTGAAGTGGAATGAATGTTTTCCTGTCTCCACAGAGCCTTTCCTTTTAGGAACTACTTAGATATGTGAATATGGGGCTCAGCATAAAAATTTTTGCAGACTACATCCATGTCAGAATGAACACAATCACATGCTGCAAATGTAATTGCACCATTTACTTAAATAAAAAGGTAGTTAGACATGAAGATGTTACATTAGTGTATGCAAACAGCTGTGCAGAAGTTTATGCAGCAGAACTGGAATCTAGAATATCATTTAATTGTAAATTAAGACTAGTTTGTAGGAATGAGTTGCCTCTGGAACACAAAGCAGCTCAAAATAGAACTTTTTACTACGTTCCAGTATTTCCCAGATGTAGTAGTGTGCTCCAATGCCCCGAGTTCTGTAGTTGTATAATTAAAAACAGCAAGAAGCATTAATATTTAACATCCTCTGGTGTGAGCCTAATTAAGAGTTTCAACTGTAATATTATATTAATACAGAACTTTATGTAGAAGTGATAGTATTACTTTGAGTAAATCTGTGTAATATGCCTGTATGGATTTGAATTACTCTTGTTTTTACATATTTGAATAAAATTTCTTTGAACTTCTGTAAAGCACCTACAAAGCACTTTGTCTTCAAGCTGCTGCTTTTCCTGTCATGCTGAGATAGGTGGCACTTCTCCCTCCCCTCTTTGTTATTGTAGCTTTCCTGTAAAGCTCCAGCTGACCACAGTCACAGCTGAAGAGAAAAATATCTGTCGTTTGATACGAAGAAAATGGAGTGGATTGATCTTAACTGCTCTGATGATGAAGTATCAGTGTGCTTGTATGACTTCCATGAATGATGCTTTCATTATTTCAGACAAAAATTGCATGCTGTTTTTTTATTATTTTAAATATATTAAAAAGTCTTTGGGAACATCAGTCCCGTAAATATAGCACATGCAAGATCAGCCTAAGTATGCTACATGTGTAGCATGCTTTCAGTAAAGCAAATAGGAGGCATCATTAAAATTTTGTTTAGTTTTTTGGCATAATTCAAGGAAATCCATTCGGATGACTGTGATTGTTTTTGGAAAAAGCTGCTTTATGCTGATTGCCTGCATGTTTCCTTCCTGACTCTGCAGTACTGACTATAAAATATTCAAGTTTGTGTCATACAATTTAATTAGAGACAGGCCTGGGTAGCAGAAGTCCAGACTGTGACAGAGGAGTGCATTGCATCTAAGAATGATCAGTTAATAAATGTCAACAGCAGTTTTTAAACATAGAACTTTTAAGTCTTTGTATCTTCAAGTTAATTTAATAAGATTTAAGCACTGTTTTTTTAAAATATCAGGGGAAGCAAAGGTGCTGATATGAAAATATGTAATGCAAACGATTACAGCCGTTCCTCCTGGGGCACAGACACGCAGAGAAATTATTGTGATTGAAATAGTCACTTATTTTCATTGTGAGCAAAACCTACTCAAACGTTCTCAGATACAAAGAGAGTTAAGACTATACTCATGGGCAGTTACTGTTGCTCAACAGAAGTGTAGAAATTTGACCAGTGTAGGTAACATAGTGATGAGTATGAGCCTTTAGTTTGGTGCTTTAAAAAGAGATACTGATACAGTGGCAATGGAAACTTAAATCCCACAGGAAGAAACAGAGAATTTTTATTACTTCAGACAGTTTTTAATAGCCTAGGAAATATTGATGCTTTACAGGTTGTACTATGTCTCCTTGACATAGTCTTTTTGTCTTCTGTATAGTCTTCTTGACATAGTCTTGACTATGTCTTGTTGAGGAAGAAAACAGATTGCACAATACAAGATCGTCAGGAGAGCTAGACATGAGGAGTGTCTGTGGCTATATTCAAGCTGGCAAAAGTCTATTAAGACCACTTTTTTGATCAATTGAAAGAGCTAGAATTTCTCTGAAAAATTTAGAGTGCCTTATAAATAATGCTGGCTAGGGCCCGTGGAGAGGAAACAGGGTGTACAGGGAGCGAGAAAGAATGTAGTCATTTAGGAAGTCTGCCTCCATGCATTTATTCACTAAATACTAAATTTATTTTTTATAGCAGCTTTTTTCCCCATGTTGGCTTTTCAAGACGTTCTGAAGGGGTTTTTCACTGTGGTTTTCCATCTGACTCAAAATGCTTGGTGTAACTGGTCAGCTGAGTTTTATGAGACACTGTCTTCTTCCTTCTGAATGAGCTGGAACTCATGACCTGACTTTGAGCCTCACAAATTTATCTAACAAAAAGAAAGGGAGGAACTCTTTAGGAAAAGAGATTTAAATAAAGATAAGTGTGTGAAGAAAATTTAGTATACTTTAGACCTTTTTAGTCTTGACAGTACTTAGTTATTTATCTTTATATACTATATTGTAAACTCATGTGGATTATAATGCCTTTATTATGGGATTACGTTCTGACTATGGGGTTAAAGAGGGAAAAACGGCAGTTATTTTATGTGTGATCTGACAGATTTTATATTCTGTTTTTGCTTGCCATGATTCTACCCTTGCAGTTGCAAAGGATATTGGCCTGACACTCCAACTTGCTTTTGGTGGACAACTAAGAAAACAAGAATCCTTTTACTGTTACTGCTAGTCAAAGGCCAGATTTCAATTTGCAATTTTGAAATTAAAATCTCTCAAGACCATTACCAGTGTCTTAATTCTTCCACTTCCAAATTCAGGAGGAATACTGTATTCTGACCTGATAATTCAGTTGGCATTGTTTTGATTATAAATGTAATAAATATTTAAATTGGTCAGGACTTTCCTATGCCTTTTCTGTAAATTGGAACTTGTCCATCAAGGGCTATGCCTGAAATCTGATGTATTTTTTTTTGTTTACTTTGCTTTAAAGATTGAGAATTTTTGATGACAAGAATGAAATCTTATGACTTACTATATTGTATTTCTGGGACTTTGATAGTAACTCTTAGTGGAAATGGCTAGTTTTCACTAACCTCAGCATGTACAAAAATTGCATGCTGAATTCATCTCTGAAGAGATAAAGTTGAACTTTTTTATTCTCCCTCCAGTTGTGCACTAACGACAAGTGTAGTTCAACATTAA